CCAAAGCGAACAATATCGTGCTACGGCGGAGGCGGGGCCAGGCTGTGACAAATCGTTTCTAACTTGGTACAGTCTTTACTACTGTAAGTATTATTATTCTTTCTCAATCTCTATTTTCTTCGTTAGAATTCAACTATGATTCTAACGACATTAAAATGTAACCATGCTGAGTTGAAAGTCTTCATAGTACATTAAAATGTACCAAAACAACTTATTTTTAAATTAAAACGTATCTATGCCGAATTGAAAGTCTTCATAGTACATTAAAATGTACCATTACCAAATTAAAATGTAACCATGCTGAATTAAAATGTACCCATGTTAAATCGAAGTGTGCCGATGGATTTTAGGTACGTTCTTATTTTAAATGTACCAATATGTATGTTTTAGTAACTTTCTATTTTATTGTTTGTGTCTACATTTTATATGTGTGTATTATGTATTTGCCAATTATTTAAAGAAAAAAACTTGTGCAAGTTGTCTTTTAGGTACGTTTTATGAGTCAAGATAAAACACCAATGTTGTATGAGTATTGGAAGATTTCATATTTTCATAATTTTATGAACTAATGACAATTTTGAAAATTGTAAATGCATGAATAATGAAAAGAAAACAAGATAATTTGCCAAAAGGAAATAATATAAAATGAAATTAATAATCCCCAAATTTATACGAGAATGTTTAATCAAAATTTTAAAAGAAACAAATGTTTAGTCTAAGTAATTAAAAAACAAGGCACCTATATCTTACGTGTCACGGCCCATCCCAGAAATGTACTTTATTTTATCATCGTGGTTGTGAAAAGATAGATTTACCCTTTAGCGTCGGATGTGTGTTTGTGTGGAATTAAAGAATTGAGTCAAATTGAGTCAATTAGTTCTATCCCTAACTAATTGGACCCAATTAGAACTAAAAGATTAAAGAGTTGGGATTGGTGTGCATTTTTGGACCACATAAATCCATACCCTTCTCTCTCTTTCCCATGCTCTCTCTCTCTCATCTCGCAGACTCTCTCTCTTCACTCTCCTCCGTACAGACCACCTTGAAACTGAGCCAAATCTTCATAGATCGAGGAAGAAAATGGTACCATTGTGTTCGTGAGGATCCTACGAGTTCAAAGGTACCTATTTCAGGTAAGAATTCGTTCAATTTCACGTTGAAAACTCAAGCTCCGAGTTGAACACTATTCATGAACTTTTGAATGGTTATGTTTTAGGATAATCCAAGCTTTCAGCGAACTCTAGGAGGTTCTCACGAAGCTCGGAGTGCTTCGTTGGCTCGGTTTTGACGTCGGGATCACGAGGTTCGAAGGTGGCCGGTTTTGTTGAGATTTTTCTGACATGTTTTCGAAGGATTTGAGGCTCCAAAGAGGTATAACCTTCTTCCTCTTGAAATTTGTGACATTTGGGTGAAAATTTCGTAGAAAATGGTGCAAAAACGAGGGAAAAATGGGCAATTGCAGGTCTACCCAGAATCCGGCGCTGGTGGCACTATTCTGACGTCTGGAGGTTGAAGGTGATGTGCATAAGGGCGCGTGATGCTGTGCCCTCCCCGGCACGTGAGGGCGCGTGAGCTATAGGAAATTTTTTCTAAAATTATCACGATGTTCGTGAGGTTGTGTAGGTCACATTGGTATATTCATATACCCATTTTGAGCTATTTATGAGAAGTTATTAGCTAGTTTTGCCTATATGCTTTAAAGTAACGTTTTTATAGTTAATTCGCATATAGGTGAGACTTATTTCGAGGGCGAGCGTATCCATGGGCGACTCGAGGGTTACAACTCGTCGACATATCAATGAGTGGGCTTTTGTTTTCAGTATATATTTATATACTTGATTTATTTCCCAGAAATTTGTTTTACATGAAAGTATGCTTTGAAATAATATGCCAAATGACTTTATATTCTGAATATCCATTTTCCATGGTTGCATATATATATATAAATGTGGTGTTGTGGAGGCACATGTAAGTTCAGGTAAGTTATGTTTGATTAGGTGAACTATGAACGGCTTAATCCCTATTTAGGGTATGTAGGCAGTCTAACGAGAGGTTAGATGCAGCCATTCAATAAATGAGATGAACATGTTGATTGTTTATATGAGATGCGATTAAGACAAAAGCCTTAGTTGTGAATAGAATGATTATAAATGTATTGATGAACATTGAACTCATAACCTGCACCAGGGTGATTGCGATTTAGCCAGAGAGAGTTGGCACATGCCTGTATATTATGTCACCTCCCACACCATATGCTCACATTGGATCCAATTTAGGTACACAGTCTTGTCGTACAGACCACTATAGGTGGTTCTGACTCGTAGGTGATTAACGATTTATCGCACAACTAGCATAAGGGTGTTGCATTGAGCATAACTATATTACACCCAACCTTGTCGTACAGACCATTTCAGTGGTTCCGACTTATGTGCAGTATATTGCCGTATAGGTCATAGAAATGACTCCGGCTAGATCGAGTTTAAGCTAGGAATTCAGCCTTATAAACTACCACAGGAGTTCCGGCTAACATATCACATTTCTATGAAATTATTCTTACCTGGATTGTTTACTTTGTTATATTTTGGCATGGCATACATATGAAAATGATTATGTGAAGCATGAACTAAATTGATATGATTTCAAATATATATATATATATATATATGTATGTATATGCTCATATCTTGATTCTGGGAAAATTATACATGTTTTACAGCGAGGAGTTAGTTATGCTGAATTATGAAATGGTTTTGTAAAACATTTGTTTTTGCCCACTCACGCTTTCTGTTTTACGACCCTCCAGGTTCTAAGTAAGATTGTTGTTTGTGGCTCGGGATCTTCGGCAGTTCTGACCTATTTGAATAATAGTAGGACATTCCTGGTACTATGTAACTAGTACTTGTCCTACTGGACTGCACCTAGACTTTATGCTCTGATTAGGAGTGTTTACTGTCGTAACTAACTCCTATCACTTTTTGTTTAATAGTGTACTCAAGTAATGTGGTTTTTAATTATTCGTATATTTGCTATCTTTATCGCTTCTGCACTGTGCACATGGCTACGTCACTCTCACGTGACGATCAGCATGCCTTGGCCTCGGTCGGGGTGTGTCATTATGACTACGATTGACAAACGATAGGACGTCTACATTATATTTGTTTAAAGAACAAAAATGGTAATTCGAACTTGAGTAAAGAAGATAAAATGTGTTGTTTTAGTCAGTTTGATTATCGAACAGTAGGATGTCTACATTATATTTATCGACCCCTTTTATTGGGTAATAAGCAAATTATTTTTTTTTTTATGTTAGAAAAAATTAAAAGTTAAGTGAGAGGTTTTAGGTTCGATTCTCGCCGAAGACAAATTTGAACTACATTGTTGCTACATTGATGAACTTCAAGATCAATACCGGTGAAGCTTTGGAACTACTAGTGCAACTACCTTCCAAACATCACCAGAAACATCAGATTCATTCATCCCGTTCGCCATCCATGAAGACTCGCACCACCTTGATCAGCCCCTCAGCAAACTGCTCCAAATAGAAGCAAAGCTCATGGACGTAGAGTGCATCAATCAGAACCATATAATTGGTCTTGAATCTGCCTCGCACGTAAACGAAGGAACCAAGCAAAATGCTCATATTTTGACACGAAGGATTCAAATTCAAGTGGAATTGTTGGAAGAGAGCAGCTTAACTGAACTCTTATTCACAGGTGCTGAAGCTGTTGAGGCCGAAGACCGGCCCCTTGCTTTGTACATAATTTCAAAGCTTAAAACAGTTGTATTAATGGATAATAAGGAAAATGAAGACAACCCTTTCAACAGGTTGGCATTGTTCTTCACTCAAGGCCTTTAAAACAAGAGCCTTAATGTTGCTCCTGAAATTTCCACAAACCGGTAGTTCCTGGACCGTTGGTAAACATAATGTCCGCATTTCAGATGCTCCAGGAGCTCTCTCCTTACCTCAAATTTGTGCATTTCACGGCCAACCAGGCAATTCTCGAGGCCACGCATGGTGTTAATGAAATTCATGTCATTGACTTTGACATCATGGAAGGGAGCCAGTGGCCTTCGTTGATGGTTGACCTTGCAACGAAAGGCGGCCCTGCAGCTTCCCTCAGAGTAATAGCCTTCACAGTGGACGACCAGCAACTGCTCACCAAGCCAGAATAAGGCTAAAAGAGTTCGCTGATACTCTCAACTTGCCGTTCGTGTTTGACCAGGTCAGAGAAAAAGAATTTAGTTGAATAACTGGATGCAGTACTAATAGGCAACTGCATGATCCACCTGCTTCACATGCCCAACAGAAGCTTCGCATCGGTGAGGACATTCTTGGATCATATGAGAAAACTATTACCTAAGATTGTTGTCCTAGTAGAAGAAGAGCTGTTGAATTTTTCGAGAGTATCTTCAATGTCCTTCGTAGAGTTCTTCTGCGAGGCTGTCCACCATTACACTGTGCTTTCTGACTCATTCGGGACTAGTTTTCGGGGTTTAGGGTACAAAACCGGATTGAAACAGATAGAGGAGGAGAGTTTGGGGATTAAGATTGTCGATAGTGCGATGCGGCTCCCGTGTGACAAAGAGGAAAGGATGTTGATGTGGGGGGATGGTTTTTTTGCCTCCTTGAAGGGCGGTTTTAAACCCATCCCGTTCACTTGTTACAATATTCCTCTGGCCAACTACTTGGCCAACCTGTTCGATAAGGGTTACTCTGTTCAGCATCACAATTGCTGGTTAGTTTGTGTTGGAAATCAAGGCCTATGTTAACAGCCTCCGTTTGGCTGCCGATAACAAAATCAATGCGTTGAACATCGAATCGCCTTCCTGCTCGAGCGTTATGGAATCAAAAAGCCGATGTTTTATCAATCATCAATGCATCACCAATTATTCCACTTCTCGTGTGGGAGAGTGAAGAAAGCTTCTTAATTATTGTACGAATTAACTACTGGCTAGTGTTAAATATAGTTTAAAACTTTTGCGAACAACCAACACTGCGATTGAAAAAAGGATCAAACTTACTACTCATGAGTGCAAACATTTCCAAAGGTATCTGGCTTTTACAATATTGACTTGCAAAAGGGATCAAAAGGATGGCCTTTCTAGCATCAGTAACTACGATTCAATAACCACAAGCGAATCCTACAACTGAAGATTGGCTGTTAAATCAGAACCCGGCAAGTGAAACGTTACATTAACTAGTGTTTACAAAGGTGAGAGTGGAAGCTATTAGGGGTCAATTGCCATGGGTGTAATACGCCTTTTCGAAGGTTTACTTACAATTGGTGATTCATTTTTACCTTCATTCCTTTCTGCTTCTGATTTTCCCATTTCTTCTGCAACAATACTATCAACTACCATGACATCTGGCTTCTCAACTGAGCTTTCGTTCTCTTCACCCACAACTTCTTTTCCTTTCGTTTCTGATTTTCCACTCTCTGTTGTTATAAGACTATCAGTCGCAGTAGCTTCAGTCGCTATGTCCTCTTCCTTCTCAACAGGACTATCATTTTTCATAGCTTCAATTACCATGTCCTCTGGCTTGTGAACTTGGCTTCTCTTCTCGTGACCCACGACTGTCTTTTCTTCTGTTGCACAATGAAACTGGAGTAAGGATAAACCAAGCAATGGAAGAATTGATGGATACAAAAATTAGTGATAAATAGATTTAGAAAATGCAAGGACAGAAAACCTGATAAATATATAGGTGACCCCAGTTCATTATTCTCAAATTCAACAACAGTGCAGTAACCATCTTGAGAAGACACTGCTAGATAATGAGCGTCGGGTGACCTTTTGAAGAAAAAACATCAGAGGTCAAACTTATCATAATTAAAACATCAAATAAATAGTTTACTGCAGACAACTGATACAAAGTTTACCATGCAATGTCTGTTATAGCTGCATAGTGAAGACCAGCAAAGATAGCAATCGGAGGAACACTCTCTGTGTCATAAATGTACAACGAATTTAGAGTGGCCACAGCAAAAACAATGCGGTGGGGAAGGTTAAAGAACCCAGCTGCAAATTCACCAAAGAATATTCATATTACTATAATCCATCAACAAAGCTACAGTATGTTGCAAAATAACAATGTAACCACCATGCGTACATTGATTTGACCCCCGCAGGCTAAAAAGCAAAGGGCAGAAACGAACTGCTATAACAGGTTTGCAGGCACCAGGGAGCTGTAGAGCAGGCCTGTGTTAACATGAAATGTGAGAATAAATGCAAGAAGAAAGTTCCCTTCAAACTTAGTTCATTTACTTCACAATCGTGAGTCGTGACACTGAAAAGAACAGGATCATGCTATGATACCCAACACAAAACTTAGGTGGAATATAGATGAAGAATCACTTTAAGAGAAACAATATTCAGCACTAAAAAATAACGGTGATGCCTTGCCTTGAAAGGTCCTTCCTAGAAAATACATAAGCAGTATTTACTGTTTCTGGTGTGGGTGATACTTTGTAGGAACCTGAAATTGGAAGATTGTTACGTCAAAAAAAGGTGTAATGAACCCTAACATTAGTGGTAACTAACTAATTATGCATAGTAGGGAGTCAGGATTCAGAGGGATGTCTAAATGACCATCTTATTTCAGGAACATACAGTAACCTAAATAGGACATCTCAGATCATCTTTTCATCCTTTTAAAACATATATGCACCAATCCTAAACAAAATTATAAAACCCATTAAAAGTTCAAACTATGTAAAGATCCATGCATGCATGCATACATACATACATAATACATGCATACATACACTTATAGGCATATTCTTATTTGCGTATGTATAGGCAAATTCTTATTTGTGTATGTATAGGCATATTCTTATTTGCGTATGTATAGGCATACATGTACATATCTACCATGATTCCAAAGCAGTCTAGGATACTTATACTCAAGACAGAAAAGCACAAAATCAACCTGAGTAACGAGCCTTAAAAGGGTGCTTAACCTATCAAACAAAATTCAAACTAAGGCCCTAAACCAAGATAGCACTATCTGCCAGATTGAATTCCAGCAGCACCTACGCTCCCTTAAAAATCCAGCATAAGTAGTCACAAGTCGGAAAGGTCTAAAACCGAAGTATGTTATTCTAGAGATGCTTCAGTCCATAAATTCCAGAGTCTCTCCACACTCATTTTATAGCCTAATACAAGTCATACATGTCTTGAGCGAATCTACCAACACTGAAAATTAAAATGGTGTGTACTTCAATCATCAAAAATTAAATTCACTACAAAGAGTCCTGAAAATCAATATGATTGCAAATAATGGGTTCTTTTGAGCTATCATAATTCAATTAAACAAAAAACAATAGCATGACATACTTAAGGCCCTACAACACATAAAGCACAGAAACCTAAATTGCTAAAACCTTAATCAAGAAAAGTACAAGTAATGAATATTATATTCTAGAACTTACTTAAATACCCTAAATCTACCCACCCATAGCCTATGCGGGATTTAATGGTATCAAAGTTTCTCATCCTTTAGGCCTTTGGGTCTTCACCAACAAGAAAATCACTCATATGACACATATACTATTTGACGTGGCCCATTCCCTCAATGGCCCCAAGATGTCATCATAACCATGGCCCTTGAACCTCACAACTACTTGCTATCATATCATTCGTGACCACCCAAGGCTAGCTCCATGTGTGCTAACTCAAGTTGGCATTTGGATTTATGAGCCTTACTTTAAGCTAGATCTTCTCAACTTATAACTGACAGTGAGATCCATGAATATGACATTGTCCATCTAAAAGATGATGGAGCAAATTACATTTCTACAACGTAGACTAACCCAATGGATGCTACTAAATTAGTTACAGTCCTCACCTAGAGACTATGTCATCCATACAACAATAATTGCCAACAAAAATGGGGGAGGTGGTAACAAACATACAATACCCATTGGAACACAACTGACCATCATGGACAGAAAATTACACTAAATAAGTCCACATTTCGGTGAGCATTCTATTGAGCTAGTACCTGCTGGAACAAGCAGAAATGATCCATCAGGTGACCATGCTAATCTTCGAAAGAAAGATGGCAATGTCTCATCAAGAAAGAGATGGTTTTTTGCAGACTGCATTAGAAAACATCAAGAAGCTTAGAACATGTGTATTCCATGTATTATTATGATAAAAACGAAATGCATAGATGATTTACTATTTGCCAACCTTAGAATCATCCACCATGTATTATTATGATAAAAACGAAATGCATAGATGATTTACTATTTGCCAACCTTAGAATCATCCGAAAGTGGATGTTCAGCCTTCGAAATAACATGCTGGGAAACATAATTTGTCTTCTCAGCACCTGTCCCTTTTGAATGACGCTTCTTGACGTAAATGCGACAAGTTCTATCAGAACTAAGGGAAGCAACGTAGTTGGCCAATGGGTCCCATGCCACACCTTGAACATAATGGCAATGGGAATCCAGAATCTGATGGACAGAACCTGATGAATAGAAACAGGAAAGATCATTCTTGATCTTTTATAAACTATTAACAGATATTTGCTACAGTTATTTTGGTTAGCCATCTATTTCTTACCTTTGTTCACATCCCATATGATGCAAGAATTATCCACTGACCCGGAGATGAGATATGCACCATCAGTAGACCACTGGAGGTCAAGCACATCCTTGCGGTGAAATCTAACTCAAGAAAAGCCAGTCATGAACATAGGACTCATGCAAGAAAAAAATGACCTAATAAAGCTCTAAACAGTTGATCTGACATTTTGATTGAAATACATCTGAAATTGAACTCCAAGATGCCACAGATTGCCAGTACTAAATCGACTACATAAACTGAATTCAAATTCTTCACCTAGTACCTATGCATAAAATTACAAATTTTATCTATCACAAATTGGTACATGGTATCAAACTGAATGCAACAAACTAACAGGATCAAGTACAGGTCATTTGTGTGTATACACATTTTACAGTCCCTCAACTCTAAAATAACACTATTTGAGAGACTGCTTTTTAAGTATGCATCAAATGAAGATCCTTTAAAAAAAATCAGCTAACATAGAAATTACGTAAGCGTTTGATCAAATGGTGAACTCCGCCGTGTAAGTTTATCTTACATTGCCGGTCCCAAGCCCGGATAAAGGAGGAGGGGGAGGGCATCAGGTAGTCGACAGCCGGCACTCCATGATCACGTCGAATCCTTATGAAAATGAATCCAGAACGAAATCGCGTTAAAGCTAGGGCGTCACCCGTAAGTGGCGCGCTGTGTGGCCCGAGCACAGTGATAAGTGAGCAAGGGTCGCTGTATCTCCATCGGCACCCGGATGCAGTGTTAAATGAGCAAGGGGGCTATAGAAACTTCTTTTCGAACGACTCCACTCAAAGTTGTTTGGGAGCATATGCTCCTATCAACTTTACACGGGACACACAAAAGAAGTACTTTGATCCTATTAGACGGGGAAGGGTGAAGAAGCTAGGACAGAAGGGTAGAGTTCAAGAGAGCAAAATGCGTTTAGGAACGTGGAATATAGGAACCTTGACGGGAAAATCTATGGAAGTAGTAGAAGTTATGGTGAGGAGAAGGATAAATATTATGTGCCTACAAGAAACTAAGTGGGTTGGGCGTAAGGCAAAGGATCTAGAAAACTCAGGGTTTAAACTATGGTATTCGGGCACAAATAGAACGAGAAACGGTGTTGGCATCATCGTGGACAAGACCTTGACACAAGATGTTGTAGATGTCAAGAGGGTAGGAGATAGAATCATGGCAATCAAGATTGTAATAGGACAAGAACTTATCAATGTGATTAGTGCGTACGCACCTCAAGTAGGGTTGGATACGAGTTCGAAGGAGAAATTTTTGGAAGACCTTGGAGACTTGGTGCAAGGAATTGCTCAGACGGAGAAGTTATTTATAGGAGGAGATTTAAATGGACACGTGGGCAGGGAGACAGGCAATTATGGAGGTTTTCATGGTGGCCATGGTTTTGGGGAGAGAAACGAGGATGGGGAAGCTATCTTGGATTTTGCAATGGCATATGATCTCTTCTTAGCCAACACCTTCTTTAAGAAGCGGGAAGAACATGTGATCACCTACAAGAGTGGGTGTCGTCAAAAACACAAATAGATTTTCTTCTAATGAGGAAAAGGGATCGTATAACTTGTAAGGATTGCAAAGTTATACCAGGAGAGAGCGTGGCTAATCAACATCGCTTGTTGGTGATGGATGTAAATATCAAAAGAGTGAGAAAAAAGAACAAGACTTGGAAGTGCCCAAGGACTAGATGGTGGAATCTAAAAGAAGAAGAACAAGCCATTTTCAAAGAGAAAATAATCACCCAGTGTGTGTGGGATAGAGAGGGGGAAGCTAACCAAATATGGGATTCCATGGCTAGTTGTATCCGAAAAGTAGCAAAAGAGGTATTAGGAGAGTCCAAGGGCTTTGCCCCACACCAAAAGGAATCTTGGTGGTGGAATGAGGAGGGTACAAACAAAGGTGAAGGCTAAGAAGGAATGTTGTAAAGCCTTATACAAGGATAGGACCGATGAAAATGGTGAAAGGTATAGAAAAGCGAAGCAAGAGGCGAAGAAAGCTGTGAGAGAAGCTAAGTTAGCGGCTTATGACGATATGTATAAACGACTAGATACCAAAGAAGGAGAGTTGGATATCTATAAACTAGCTAGAGCAAGGGAAAAGAAGACAAGAGACCTAAACCAAGTGAGGTGCATCAAGGATGAGGATGGAAAGGTTCTTGCTACAGAGAACGCGGTTAAAGACAGATGGAAAGGTTATTTTCATAATCTTTTCAATGAAGGACATGAAAGGAGTGCTTCTTTAGGGGAGTTGAGTAACTCAGAAGAGTGTAGAAACTACTCTTTTTATCGTAGAATCCGGAAGGAAGAAGTGGTTGTAGCTTTGAAGAAGATGAAGCATAGAAAAGCAGTAGGCCCAGACGATATACCAATCGAAGTGTGGAAAGTTTTGGGAGAGACAGGTATAACATGGCTCACTGACCTTTTCAATAGGATTTTGAAAACGAAGAAGATGCCAAATGAGTGGCGAACGAGCACTTTGGTGCCTATCTACAAGAATAAGGGCGATGTACAAAATTGCATGAACTATAGGGGTATTAAGCTAATGAGTCATACAATGAAGCTCTGGGAGAGAGTCATTGAGCATAGATTGAGGCAAGAGACACGGGTTTCGGACAACCAATTTGGGTTCATGCCAGGGCGCTCAACCATGGAGGCAATCTATCTCTTACGAAGATTGATGGAAAGATATAGAGATGGGAAAAAGGATTTACACATGGTCTTTATAGATTTGGAAAAAGCGTATGATGATAGGGTCCCAAGAGACATTCTTTGGAGGATTTTAGAGAAGAAAGGAGTACGAGTAGCATATATCCAAGCTATACAAGATATGTATGAAGGAGCAAAGACTGCCGTAAAGAACTCATGAAGGACAAACCGAAAGCTTTCCCATAACTGTAGGATTACATCAAGGCTCATCCTTAAGTCCTTACCTTTTTGCGTTGGTAATGGATGAGTTAACAGGACATATTCAAGATGATATTCCTTGGTGTATGCTTTTCGCAGACGATATAGTGTTGATAGATGAAACTCAAGAAGGGGTAAATGCAAAGCTTAACCTTTGGAGAGAAGTGTTGGAATCTAAAGGTCTTCGCCTAAGCCGATCAAAGACAGAATATATGGAGTGCAAGTTCAGTGCAAATGGAGGCCAAAACGAGTTAGGGGTGAGGATCGGAGATCAAGAAATACCAAAGAGCGACCGTTTTCGTTACCTAGGATCTATCTTGCAAAAGAACGGAGAATTAGATGGAGATCTCAACCATAGAATACAAGCTGGATGGATGAAGTGGAAGAGTGCATCCGGCGTGTTGTGTGACCGCCGTATGCCACTGAAGCTCAAGGGAAAATTTTATAGGACGGCAATAAGGCCGGCGATGCTGTATGGCACAGAATGTTGGGCGGTGAAGCATCAACACGTACACAAAATGGGTGTAGCGGAGATGAGGATGCTTCGTTGGATGTGTGGGCACACGAGAAAGGATAAGATTAGGAATGAGGATATTCGGGGTAAAGTAGGAGTAGCCGAAATTGAAGGAAAGAAAGATGAGAGAAAATCGGTTACGGTGGTTTTGGACATGTGCAAAGAAGGCCTACTGACGCTCCGATTAGAAGATGCGACTATGGGACAGAGGTTCAGGGCCGAAGGGATAGAGGAAGACCCAGGAAAACTTTGAGAGAGACCCTAAGAAAAGACTTAGAGTACTTGGATCTAACGGAGGACATGACACAGGACAGAACACAATGGCGTTCTAAGATTCATATAGCCGATCCCACTCAGTGACTTGGATTTTCCAAGTCTCCAACCGAGAAGTTGTCCTCGCTCGGGAAATTAAGGGAACACTACCTCAACTTACATGCTCCACTCACAAAGCTCCAACATACAAGCTTCAACAAAAGAAAATTCAAAGAACTTAGCGAAGAAGGCTTTGGTGATTTAACACAATACGTTGAAATGAAGGAAAGCTTATTTATTGATATCCCCGATAAATTACAAATATGTACATATACTTAAGTCAAAATAAACAAACAAGAGGGAGCCTTCACAAAGGTTGCTTAGGAGAAGTCTCGGCAGTCGGTGGAGCCCCAGAAAGAGAAGGCACCGGAGGGGGATCATTCGGAGCCTCAGTACTGGACAGAACCCTAGAAGGAGGAGGCATCAGAGGTTGATCATTTGGAGTTTCATTACGCGGCACAGCCCCAGAAGACGAAGGCAATAAATGCCTTTGGAACAAACCCACAAATCTTTGATGATCAAGTAAAACCTGACCATCAGATTCCTTCATTTGGTCAAGCTTCCTCTTCATGTTTGTAGCATAGTCATGTGCGAGCCGGTGCAACTGTTTATTCTCATGCTTGAGCCCTCTAATCTCCTGTTTGAGACTCATCACTTCAGCCGCCAATGATTCAACTTGGCGGGTTCGAGCAAATAGGCGTTGGGCCATATTAGACACAGAACCTGCACACTGAACACTAAGAGCCAGAGAATCCTTAACAGCCAACTCATCAGACCGTTTGGAAAGTAGTCTGTTATCTTTGGGAGTGAGAAGGTTCCTGGCCACTACCGCAGCGGTCATATCATTCTTCATCACGGAATCCCCAACGGTAAGAGGACCAGTAGGGGAGACGAAGGATGGGCGCCATATGTTGTCTGGAGAAGGCGGGGCTGCCTCTTCAACAAGGTTCAAGTCAAAACGACGGTCGGAGGGGCCAGACATTTTCAAAGGTGTAGAAGAGAGAAGAGGTCGGACAAATCAAGATCTTAGAAGTGCAAGAATGGAGCTTCTACTGGTGGATATTCAAGTGTGCTTTGGAACTTAATGTCAGCCTCTATAAAAATCTGCACTCGACGAAGCTTCAAAAATCGAAGAGGCGTTTGCTTTCTCAAAAGCTGGGCTGCTCAGAGACCACGAGGGTCGATCTCAGAAATCGAAGATGCGTTTGCTTTCTCAAAAGCTGGGCTGCTCAAAGACCACGAAGGTCGATCTCAGAAATCGAAGAGGTTTGCTTTCTCAAAAGCTGGGCTGCCCAGAGACCACGAGGGCCGATCTCAGAAATCGAAGAGGTTTGCTTTCTCAAAAGCTAGGCTGCTCAGAGACCACGAGGGCCGATCTCAGAAATCGAAGAGGCACCAACTTTTCCAGCCTTGTCAGCACCTGTCACACGCACATTCAGCTTTGCGGAAATTATGGGCATTCTGTCGAAGATTTTCTGGCGAAGTAGAAAGCACATGAATCGTACTGTTCAATCATCCACTTCCCACACGCAACAGTAGCTCATGGGTACCACATATAACTTTGCCAAAGTTCTCTGACAAAGTTGAGACTACTTTTCCAGCCTTGTCAGCACCTGTCACACGCACACTCAGCTTTGCGGAAATTATGGGCATTCTGTCGAAGATTTCTGGCGAAGTAGAAAGCACATGAATCGTACTGTTCAATCACCCACTTCCCACACGCAACAGTAGCTCATGGGTACCACATATAACTTTGCCAAAGTTCTCTGACAAAGTCGAGACACGTGAAGCTTGCAACTCTCACTACATCGCTCTGACCAAGAAGGGTAAAAGAATAGCAAAGAAACAACACTAACAAAGTTTAGACACATAAATTTTGAAGGCCTAGCTACCATATTATTACCCACAAGGGTAAAGGAACAGTACCACTGCTGGATAATTGGAAAGTCTCGGTGTGTCAACCTCTGTGCTTCATGGCAAGGTAGACTAGCAAACATGCCCAACCTTTACTCACATTCGAGAAAACACTCCCAACAAGATTGCTTGCCTCAAAATCGAAGAGGCATCGCCCTCCGAATCTCGAGAGCCAGACTCCCAACATGATTACTTTCTCAAAAATCGAAGAGAGGGTAAAGGAACAGTACCACTGCTGGATAATTTGAAAGTCCCTGTGTGTCAACCTCTGTGTGCTTCGTGGCAAGGTAGACTAGCAAACATGCCCAACCTTTACTCACATTCGAGAAAACACCCCCCAACAAGATTGCTTGCTCCAAAATCGAAGAGGCACCGCCCTCCGAATCTCAAGAGCCAGACTCCTAACATGATTACTTTCTCAAAAATCGAAGAGAGGGTAAAGGAACAGTACCACTGCTGGATAATTGGAAAGTCCCTGTGTGTCAACCTCTGTGCTTCGTGGCAAGGTAGACTAGCAAACATGCCCAACCTTTACTCATATTCGAGAAAACACTCCCAACAAGATTGCTTGCTCCAAAATCGAAGAGGCACCGCCCTCCGAATCTCGAGAGCCAGACTCCCAACATGATTACTTTCTCAAAAATCGAAGACACCGCTCTCCGAATCTCGAGAGCCACACCCCCAGCATGATTGTTTTCTCAAAAATCGAAGAGGCATCGTTCTCCGAATCTCGAGAGCCAGATCCCCGACATGATTGCTTGTTCGAAAACCGAAGAGGCACCACTTTCCCAACTTCAAGAGCCGGATCTCCTTGGATAAAGCTTGTCTGTAATCTTCACACGCAACATCAGCTTTCCAGATACCACAGACCACTTTTTCAAAGTGCTCTGACAGAGTTAAAACTTGTGAAGCTGGCAGCTCCCACTACCGTGCTATGACCAAGCAGGGTAAAGGAATAGCATTATTACTTGATGTTAGGGAGACTCCTATATATGTCGACCTCCATCCCCAACGGACAGGCAGACCTGCAAAAAATGCTCAACCCTTCCTCTTATCTGAGAGGGCACTCCCAACGAAGCCTTTCGAAATATTCAGCTTTCTTTCCCCCCGATAATACCTCTGTAAACAAGCTATACTAGAGCAAGAATATCTCATATCATCAGGGTTAAAAGCAAGAGTATCCCATATCATGCTTTTTCCCTGTCTTTTCCTTTGGCCTTGTTCTTACCTGCAAGACAAGGAGAAAGAGAGCAATCAGTCAGCACTTGGAATCAAGCTTCCAGCCAGGAACTGACTGCCTGGAACCCCCTACCCTGGCATTGCTCTCGAGTACTCATCTTCAACATCTTATGATTCCAGGGAAGATACCGCATCTGCCTGAGGAACAGATAGGGCAAGTGAGAAGGATACAAGGAAGCATGTGGAGACAAGCGTAACAGCACACGTGCCGATACATCCACTACTCTGTCAAAAGCAAAAGTATCCCATATCAGCAGGGTCGAACGTACTCTAGATTTGATGGACTTGTTTTGACCCTCAAATTCTTCTTCAGTCGGCCTTATACTTTGGAGGAAACCAGAAAACCCTCCAGCCCAGTTCAAGAATAAGCCTGTGGAAAGTTACTTCTTCAAAAGCAAAAGTATCCCATATCATCTCTTCTCATTTTTCTTCTCTTTATCCTTCATGCTGCCTGCAAGATAGGGAGAATGTGAACAATCAGCCGGAGCTCTGATTGCTTACCTTGTCTGTTACCTCTTTCAGCAGATCCCCTAGCTCGGCGACTTGGGGGACTCCTACTACATGGTTTGTATCGCGCTTGACCAAGCCTGAAACTACAAGTAAGCTTCAAGTGACATTGATACATTACCTTGTGCATCTCCACCAGTTACAGATACCACCCCTGGATGGAGGAAGAGTACTTCCAGAGAAGATTCCACATCTACCTATGAGACAGATAAGGAAAAGTCAAGACGATACCACACTCCGGTACTTAGAAGTTTCGTGGTTACGAGATCATTCTCCCACAATATTTCCTAATGTCATTTGTACTAAATCATTCACTTGTACTCCCTAAAGGAGAGCTTGAACCTATGTACTTGTGTAAACCTTTCACAATTAATGAGAACTCCTCTATTCCGTGGACGTAGCCAATCTGGGTGAACCACGTACATCTTGTGTTTGCTTTCCTATCTCTATCCATTTATATACTTATCCACACTAATGACCGGAGCAATATGGCGAAGATCACAAAAAGTGACCGTTTTCGCTACCTAGGATCTATCTTGCAAGAGAACGGAGAATTAGATGGAGATCTCAACCATAGAATACAAGCTGGATGGATGAAGTGTAAGAGTGTATCCGGCGTGTTGTGTGATCGTCGTAGGCCACTGAAGCTCAAGGGAAAATTTTATAGGACGGCAATAAAACCAACGATGTTGTATGGCACAGAATGTTGGGCGGTGAAGCATCAACACGTACACAAAATGGGTGTAGCGGAGATGAGGATGCTTCGTGGGATGTATGGGCACACGAGAAAGGATAAGATTGGGAATGAGGATATCCAAGGTAAAGTAGGAGTAGCCAAAATTGAAGGAAATATGAGAGAAAATCGGTTCCGGTGGTTTGGACATGTGCAAAGAAGGCCTACTGACGCTCCGGTTCGAAAATGTGACTACGGGACAGAAGTTCAGGGCCGAAGGGGTAGAGGAAGACCTAGGAAAACTTTGGAAGAGACCCTAAGAAAAGACTTGATTACTTGGATCTAACGGAGGACATGACACAAAACCGAGCGCAATGGCGTTCTAGGAGTCATATAGCCGACCCCACTTAGTGGGAAAAGGCTTTGTTGTTTGATCAAATGGTGATAATTTCAGACAAATCAGAAACACATTAGGGTGTGTATGTGTGTCTGATTAACAAAAATTTTAAAATTCAAATAGCACATTGGTTTCAGGCTACATGTGACAGACGAATGGGATCAAGCAGGCAAATACCTGATTCTGTTAGACCTAAATTGCCTAAACTGGTGCCTTGCCAGCTGTACCTTGAACTAATATGCAAATGCAATGCATACAAAAGGGTCACCATTCAAATTAAATTTCTTAGTGATGCCAGGAATGATCTGAGGTGAGCATTGGGTATATAACCATGGGGATTTAGGATGATAAAATTTTGAAGAAAGAGGATGTGTAGAAGACTAAGAAGGTTAGGGTTTGCAGTAATTCTAACAGAGGGGAATAGATAGGTAGAGGAGATAATAAAGCACCAAGCCTCCAACAATCACTAAGTTTCATTCATGCCAATCTGATTTGGTGTTTAACTGGTTTCAGTTATGAATAGAGAGATGCTTAACATGCATGTGAGTTGTAATTATTTTGTATACAATAAAAATCATTGTTTTGTCATAATTCACAAACTAATTGGTTAACCTGTTTTAATTTACAATGCTAAAACTCAAATCTAATAAGGATAAGGATGGGATAAGGAGCGGGTGCTATCTAAGTTCAAGTTTTCTTTTTCCGGGAGAGGCTATGGATCCAATGACAATAAGCACGTTGAACATCCGATTTGGTGTTTCATTATTTATATGAACCGAAAACTGTAAAAGCCTGGACATTTTATGTCAAAAGGACTATTTTATATGCATGGATAGGATTCCTTTGTCCATATAAAACATTAATAAACTCTCCGCTTATTGTTATCACTCATTGGCGGCTTTTGTTCACTTCTCCATGACGGTCACCTAACGACTTTACCATTCCCATTTCTAAGACTCTCAATTTATTTTACTAATTATCTCTACTTACAAATTTTCTGATCTTAAACTACCATGGACAGTTCTTTGTTGACCCAAAAGGCTTTAAATTTAGATTTCGTCCAATGGACATAGTCTTAGGCTTCCAAAGAAGATATCTCTTACATAACCATGATGTAGATAATGCATAACTTACGACAATGTCTTGAGGACCTTCCACACTTTGCTATTTTCTGTTGCATGCAACTTCCACACAATGAGCTCACCTCCTGATGATAAGAAGAAAAACATGAATCAGGAACATGTAACTTAAGGGACATTGAATCAGCTAAAATGGCGAATCAGGATTGTCTTGTTATACATATAAAATAAATTAAGTTCTGTTAGTGGCTTCACATACCGTCCGCACCAGAGGCAAGTTGTTCTCCTGCATCATCATTGAAGAAGTGATATTAGTTGGAACATCAACAATAACCATGATGAAGGGAAGACGTGTCAATAACACAATCACCCAAGCTTCAATTATTTGTTTTATTCTTTTGAAAAGAAACTTCTCTTATTGCATACCCAATCTTCATTAACAAGCCAATGCAATGCTACTCAGATGTACAACAAAGTGAAGCTGCTATCTGAAGGACAGAGTTTGGTTTTCAGATATGGAAGGGAAATACATTCAAGAAAAGAACAAACCTGAACTCATGAATGAAATTATCCTTCCTGGTCCCGCCCCCCCCCCCCCCCCCCCCCCCCCCCCCCACACCCCTCCCTGCCTTTTAAAACCTAATCTCTCTTCCTTCTATAGTTCTTTTATTATAAATATCTTTCTCTTCTATTATCTCCAATTGCCTTGGTGTTCCTCTTACTCTGTCTCATTCTTCTTCTTCTTCTCTAAACCCCTCTATACTTCTAAATTCTCTTTACTGGTTCTACACCTTTTGTTTAATCAATACACATCTAATTTATCGTGAGATCAATTAGAGCTGACTTCAAAATGGAAAGTTGATGCCATAATTTCATATTCTATTGACACTCTGGGAGCTGTGACGCCATTCGTCTTCATTAGATTCACAATTTTCTGTACTTTCCAATTGTTACAAAATGTACAAACTTCAGACCTCTCAACATTTAGAGAATCTCCGTGAGGGGTTGTAGCCATACTAGCTATCTAGTTCGTAAATACCTCAACCTCTCGGAACTCCTATGTTTAAGGAGAGAGAAAGTGGCTCCTAGTGCCTAGCTATTCAATGCCTTAATACTGCTACATTTCACGCGTGGCTAGAGTGACTAAAACATAATTGTTAAATAAGTTGAATTCAAAAAGTAATACAAAATTGGTGAGTATCTAAAATAGCTAGTATAGTTAGCTTAAGCACTTCAAAAGTGCCCACTGCCCAGTCATTTTAGCATAACATTGACTAAAATTAGAACACCTCCCATTGAGATGCTGTTAAACCTTGAAACTTCTTCATCCCAGAAGATATTCATCCTCATTCATTCAAAATTCTAACTTTAAAGTATAGGAACTTCTACTTTGCAGTACATGCTTTATTCCACCATGAAACTTCTTGCTTATTTTATTTTTCAAAACCTAGGAGCAACCTGTTTGGGATCGCACTCATGGATCAAATGGGGACTTGAGAGTCTGGTAACCATGCAGAAGAAAAGAACATCAATGGAAAATTCCCAGAAACTAACCCTCAAAACCATCCAAATCAGATCAATGTAATCAACTAAATTCCCCCGATCAGACTCAACCAAATTTGCCAAATCATCCCAGTCATCCCTAAGGAGGAGGATGTTTAAAATACACACACAAACTCACATGCTAGTCATTTCATACTTTAATTAAGTCAGCAAGTTGTATTTCTGTCCTTGAAATTATGACATATGGAAATTAGACATAACAAAAATTTGACATCAGTAAATGGGAATGAAAATGTAACTTTTAGTCTTATACATTCAGGTGTGCGTAGAAGGGAAACGTAACCCCAAAAACATATTTCTACATCAGCAGCTTGATTCTCTTCATAAGCAATGTTTGAGGCAAGAACGGAGGATTACAATTGCCAAAGCAAGCACATTAGAAGCAAGTTCCATCTAAGTTATCATCTTTAGAAAAGTGAAATCTAGATCGAAAAGAAAGAGAAATGAACATTCACTGAAAACTAAAAAGGTGTTCCAGTTGGAAACAAACACATACAAATTTCATCATGGAATGAGTTTCAAGCAATTACGTGCAAGTCCTGACTGTTAAATACTAAATCTCAAATTACATTTCCTTGTAAATCCATGCAATTCCTAACCACTTAAATAGTAAAACTGAAATTACATTTCTGCTTAAAACCCTCAATGACAGGTTCACACCAATATCATACATGGATAAATTGTAGGAAGCACTTCAAGTGCATTTTCAAGATTCACTTGAATTTTTTTCCTAAGGATTGGTTCCAAAAATATTTTCACCAAAAGCGCTTTTAATCATTTTAAAAGCGCTTCCCAATGAGCCCTTATACAAATGGAAACAATGTTCTAAGATAAAATATAAAACAGTAACTGCTACCCTTGGAAGATAAAATAAATTCATAAGGGTATGAAAAACTTAATGTTCTGCATATGAAAACACCTTTTCACCTTAATATAATCCTAGAAAGTTCAGAATATACAAAGCCAGTAAGCATTCTGTTCACCGAGTCTGGAGTTAGCATTACTAACATTTAATGAATTTCAGGATCTAATATGTCAGAATTCGCGGAAACTCGCTATGCAACTCAATCATAATTTTACAGTACAGCATATTCATTACACTACAGTAAAGCAGACAACAATGAGACATAGGTATTCACTTACCTGAACGAGAGAAGCGAAGAACATTCACGGCAGAACTATGGTAAGAAAGGCTACTTTGATATGAAGCTACTGGGAGTTTCTTCTCTGTTTCGCTCGAACTTATTAACCAAAGCTGGTAAATATTAAACAGGAAAAAATAAACAGTTAGTTCAACAATTAACAAAATGAAATCACTCTAGCAAAAATCAACACTTAGAAATAAGCTATTCTAAATGGACAATTTGAGTGCTGGGTGAGCGAAAATGTTCAGATTAATGTCGAAATCTGGTAAGAGAGAGTACCTTGATGTCGAAATCGGCGCCACCAGTGGCGAGAGTGCCCGAAATTGGGTGGAAATCTAGGGTTAGGACCGGCTTGGTGTCGTGCCAGTTGATCTGAACAGTCCCTCCTTTCATTTTTTTTGGTGTTTGGGGATTCTTTTGGGAATCCAATCTTGGTTTATCAAATTTCGAAAGAAAAGGGAATTTAGGTTTTATGGGGAAGGAAGAGAGGTACTTACTTCGATTTGGCGGGAATTGTTTTAGGAAATTCTACAGTTTGCCCAAAAATATTATCTTTTATTTCTATTATTATTTTTTTACTTTAAGAAATGGTTTACCATTTACAATGGGAATTGTTATTAGCACTTCAAAAATCTCATTTAACAATTCAAACTTTCTATAATTAGAAAGAAAAATACCCTTATAAGGAGTGTATAATGAGATTTTTGGAGTGCTAATAACATTTTCCTTTACAATAAGGAAATTTTACTCAAATCCGATGATTCTCTTTTCTAATCCAACTTAACCTTTTGATCGCATGAAATCTCTATATTGTCCTTGCACTCAATTAAATAAAAATGGCAAATTTATTAGATGGACTCTTTTTGTCTATAAACCCATGGTGTTGCATTTTCTTAAACATTTTATGTGGCCCATGTTGCTACGAATTCCTAGCTCTCCCAATGATACAAGAAGAAAACTCAAATACCAACCAACAAGCTCTCCCTCTCCCAGCAAACCCTAGCCATCAACCCCTACGCCGCCGGCCTCTGGCTATGGCTGGGGGCCGGTGGCAGTCTCTCCCCTCCCTTTCCTAGCTCCTCATCCCTTTCTTTTCCCTCCTATTCCCCATCTCGGCCATCGTCCACCCCTCATTCCCGACCTTTCCCCTTCCTCCTCTCCCCTCCCTTGCTTATCTCCCACCATTTTGGGTGTAGATTTCCATGGATCTATGCCCTATACCCCGACCCGGGCTATGCCCTTTCAAGATTCTCTTCGATTTTGTACTCGTTTTCCTTGTGTGGGGTTTAGATCTACGTTGCAATTGGCTTGGATCCCCCCTCATCAACTCGGTTCCATGGTGGTGTCTCCCTCCTCGACGGCTTCGGTGCTCTCAGCTCTGGATGATCGGCTTAGTCTAGGAGCTTGGTGTGTTCGTCTCAGTGCAGTTTGGCTCGGCTTAAGCATGGACACCGGCATCCCACTGTCCAAATTTTGGAGAAGGCCTAGGCCTGGGTGCCTCGTTCCCCTTGTTTTTGAGTTGTACATCGAATCTTTCTCGGTGTAGTTTAGTTCATCTCTCCCCTATGTACCGCGGCAACGCTGGTTTTTGGCTAATTTGATCTTCGCCTTTGTGCATTGTGTATTGTGGGTCTCGTCTGCTAACGGTGACTTTGACGTGGTCTCGCACTTTTGCGATGACTTTTTGTGGCCTCACTATTCAACGATGACCGTTGTGTCTACCGATATCTCTCTGTTGCAACTATCATTTATTGTGACAGAGATGTACTGGTAGATTTGTGCGCTTGGCGACTGTGTGGTTGAGTTTGTGGGTGTTTACTAGGGGTTTAATGTTATTTGTTTGCTTTGTGCAAATTCATTCCAAATCAATTTATTGGTCACTGGAATTATATACCCAATGACACTCTATAATTGTTTGGTGTTGATTAATAAAAGACTATGATATCGTTTCTTGTCAAAAAAAAAAAGGGAAGTAGCATCGAATAAGATTAAAAAGCTCACTTATACAATGTCTTGGGCCGAGGGATGCAATGTCTTCATTAGAAAAGGTGTACCAAGTATTCGGTTGGAGGAGTCTCGCTCGTAAAGGCACATCGGTTGAGCATGACCCGGGGTAAAGCAATCTCAACCCGTATGTAATTGGTTAGTCAATTAAAGCGCAATTATGGATTTGACACATTTTCTCATAAGTTGATTACAATCGCTGATCATGAATCAATATGCAGATAATTTACTTCGAACTTGTGAATGCAAGAAGAATGCTCATCTTATTTATCAACTTGTAGGAGATTAGTGACTCAAATCCTATGTTCATGACCTTTTTCAAAAGGCAAGTGAGAAGAAACCATTGATATCAATGGACTAGGTACTGTATGACACACCCCGACCGAGGTTAATGCATACTGGCCGTCACGTGAGAGTGACGTAGCCATGTGCACAGTGCAGAAGCGATAAAGATAGTAAATATACGAATAATTAAAAACCACATTTCTAGAGTGCACTACTAGCAGGAAGTGATAGAAATTAGTTACAATCGTAAACACTCTTAATCAGAGCATAAAAAGTCTAGATGCAGTCCAATAGGACAAGTACTAGTTACACAGTACCAGGAATGTCCTACTATTAATCAAATAGGTCAGAATTGCCGACGATCTCGAGCCACCAACAACAAGCTTACTTAGAACCTGGAGGGGTGCAAAACAGAAAACGTGAGTGGGCAAAAACAAATGTTCTACAAAATCATTTCATTTATCAATATACTAAACCCTCGCTGTAAAACATGTATAATTTTCCTAGAATCAAGATATAAGCATATACATATATATATCTGAAATCATATCAATTCAGTTCATGCTTCACATAATCAGATTCATATGTATGCCATGCCAAAATATAACGAAGCAAGCCATCCAGGTAAGAATGATTTCATAGAAATATGATATGTTAGCCGGAACCCCTGAGGTGGTCTGTACGGCTGAATTCATAGCTCAAAAGTCAATCTAGCCGGAGTCACTACAATGACCTATATGGCAATATACTGCACATAAGTCGGAACCACTAAAAAGGGGTATGTACGACAAGATTGGGTGTAATATAATTATGCTCAATTTTACTCTCTCATAATAGCCGGGCGATAAATCGCTAGTCACCTACGAGTCGGAACCATAAATAAGGTCTGTACGACAAGACTGTGCACTTAAGTTGGATCCAATATGAGCATATAGTATGGGAGGTGACGTAAATAAACAGGCATGTACTTCATATCTCTGGCTAAATCACAATCACCCTAGGTGCAGTTTTATGAGCTCAACATCAATCAATCACATATCACATCATTGATGACTCACATAACCAAACATAACTAACCTACACTTACTTGTGCCTCCCCAGCACCATATTTATATATATATGCAACCATGAAATGCATATTCAGAATATAAAAGTAATTGGCATATTATTTCAAAGCGTACTTTACTAAAAATGCATTTCTAGGAAATATATCAAGTATATATATATATATATATATATACTGAAAACAAAAGCCCACTCACTGGTATGTCGAAGGGTTGTAGCCCCCGAGTCGCCCGTGGATACGCTCTTCCTCGGAATAAGTCTCACCTATATGCGAATTAACTATAAAAACGTTATTTTAATGCACATAGACAAAACTAGCTAATAACTTTTCATACATTGCTCAAAATGGGTATATGAATATACCATAGTGACCTACACAACCTCACGAACATTGTGATATTTTTAGAAAAAAATTTCTATGACTCACGCGCCCTCACGCGCCGGGGAGGGCACGGCCTCACGCACGGCCCACGCGCATCGTCTTCAACCTCCAGACGCCGGAACTGTGTCACCGGCGTCGGATTCTGGGCAGATCTGCAACTGCCCATTTCTCACTCGTTTTTGCACCATTTTCACGTATTTTATACCAAAATGAAGCTCTTAACTTGTAGAACACAATCATACTATTTAAAGTTCTAAAAGTCATGGAATCTCACCGGAGAATTCCAAGAAAACCGGCCAAACTTCGTCCACATGATCCCGACGTCCAAAACCTTCAAACGAAGCACTCCGAGCTTTCTTGGGACCTCACTAAGCTTCCTACAAGCTTCAAATTCCCAAAAAAATCCATAATTACGTGTGCATGAACAATGCACAAATCGTGGGTTATGAAAAACTAGGGTTTTCGAAGTTATCCTTACCTGAAATGGGTACCAATCGACTCGTCTGGGCTTCACGAACACAATGGTACCATTTTCTTCCTCGATCAGTGAGGTTTGAGAAGTCCTTGGTGTTTGTCCGTACAAGAAGAAGGAGAGAGAGAGAGTCCGAGAGATAGAGAGAGAACATGGGAGGGAAGATAGAAATAAAGTAATGTGGATCTGTGTGTGTGGTCCAATCTACACACCAATCACAACTAACCAAGGTTTAGTTCTCATTGGCCCCAAAAACTTAGGAAAATAATTATATTGGTCCACTTCTAAAACCATGTCACATACGACTCATCTCAACGCCCAAGGGCATTCTAGTCTTTTCACACATTTGATAAAAGTATTTCGGAACGGGCTGTGACACTGTACCCATGGGTCTCTAACCAAAATTAAAAAGTCTAGCTGAGGAAATTATCTTGAATTCATCCTGTGCATATTTGTAGTACCATAAATAATCATTACTGACGAAACATGTATCCAATATGATTGTCATAGACTCATAGTATATAGTGATGAGCCGATTCCATATTATATATTTTACCCTATTTTTTGGTATGTTTTGGTGATTATTTTGGTGAGATTTTGATACTTTGATACTTTGATGTGTATTTTAAATGTAGGATACACAAATCCATTTTGGGCATAAAGTGATGAAACAATGGAATTTTTTAGTAATTCCAATTGGAGCGGTTTCGTGTGTTTGTCAAAAGGTTGTGTCAAAGTTTCAACATTTAATTCCAAGGCACATGATTGTGGCGAATTAATTAAGGTCCAGCACGCAGTGCTGACAGATTTACGTTCTAGGCTTAATTCTGATTTTTAGGCATGAACATGGCGTTTTTTTTGGAGTTAGACTCTTTTGCAAAGTTGAAGATGACAGATCACTATGCTTTAAAAAAAGATTTTTTAGGCCTGATCTGGAGCTAGAATGGTCCAGCAACGTGGACAATTGCTAGCTGTCCAGATTTCCTAATTAGATTTGGATTGTGATTTTTAAGTTATCCTTTTGTTATTTTGTTTCCTAGTTTTTAGAAGGCGTTATATAGGTAGGATTATGAATAAAGGGCTGTATATAAGCTTCCAACCAGCTTTTAGGGTTCTCTACGTGATATTGAGAGCATTCACTGAAACCCTGGCAAATTGTAAACTACAAACTACAAAGGTGTTTTTATGAGTAACTAATTCATTTTGCTAGGGTCAGGCTACGAGTCTTACCATGCAATGTGATTTTATTAATTTGCCTAATGAATTGCTTTGAATTATTAATTACTGTGCTTAAACTATCTAATTGACGTAGTGATTTGCCACCATTAAGATATTTAGACAAGTAATTTGATGCAATTTTTGTTAGAACATCACCTTGAAATTGAGGAGGACTTCTTGTGATTACTTAATGTAATTTCACTTAAGGTGAACTTCACCCTGAATGGTTTTTAAAAGGGTTTTCACAAACTTAATGAGTCTTGCATGTTTATACTTGATATGAATATCACAGAAGGATTTTATGTTAGATATATATTTCCGTTTGAATATCACGAGCAGAATATGCATTAGGAAAACCTAACCTTCGAAGCATGTATGTCGAAATTCATAAGTAATTGATAGAATTGCATAGGATTATTAATGGTGACCGCTAACTCCTAATCTTCTCCATAAGTGTTTATTGAAATCCATTTTATTGTTTTATGATTTTACCGACTTGTATTTTTAATTAAGGATTAGTTTAAATACAAATGATGCATCGAATCCTTGTAGAGAATGATCTTGCATGAGGATTTATATTACAACTACTTTGTACCCTTGCAAGTATTCTATGTGATTTTAACCTTTTTTTGCATAGATACTAAAAATCCTACATATAGATTATTAGAACATTTTATTCAAATTTAGGTATCAGAAATCACTGCTCTTCTCTAGCTCATTAACAACCAAATGGTCAAAGAAAAGGAGGTGGATGGGTAAATATCTATGAACTGAAAAGCATACTAGATGAAACGAAAGGTAATTGGTTGGAAAAGCTTTATTATATCTTATGAGCCTACAAAACAATAGAGAAAATACCAATGGCAGAATCTCTAGTTTCTTTAGTATATGGAACAAAAATAGTTCTACCAATTCATGTCAGTAGAACAAATGTTAGGTCTCTTCTTTCTACTGCGTGTCTTTCTACTGCATCTTAGGATAACGAGTTATGATTTATTTAGATCTTTTAGAGGAATGAGAGATTTCCCAGATCAAGCATGCATTATCAAAAATACCTCTCTCACGCACAAGCGTGTGCATATATCTGCTAGTTTCTAAAGATAAAGAAAGAGAGGAAGAAATTCAATAATTAATAATTTCGTCACTGTTTGATTCCCGGGAAATAATCTGGCAAACAAATTTTCCGGCCAATTTCCTGAATCAGTATTATAAACTGCTAATTCATACAAAATATATATATATATATATATATATATATATATATATATATATATATTTCTATATAATATATAGATATATATTGTAGTACGTAAGCCAAGCAAACCGTTATGATTATTCCTGAACCCCTTAGTCAACAAAATCCCAACAAACCATTTGCGATCTAGCTAGCTGGTACAAAATACAATTAATTAATTAATGCTAGCCACAACCCCTAGTACTTTTTTCACGACTCACATATTCCGTTGCCCTACGTGCTCAGTCACACATTTTTCTCTTATTAATAATTCATTACAATTGAGCATTGAACACAAATACTATCAAACATTTTCACAACTATAGATAATTAATCAGAGCCACGCACCTCTAATAGCATCATATTATCTAATCACACTAAGCTCGCAGCAGCACTAGTAGTACATCTGCAATTAAGGTAACTTCATCCGGTGGTAGTGGCTTGGTCTAGTTGTCAGGGTGTCTAGTGAAGGAGGAGGAGGCGGTGGAACCATGCTGCAGCGGCCATTCCAACGGCAACCCAACCCCTGCAGTAGGAACTCCAACTGATGTTGATGGACCATTAATAATATTGGTATTGCACTGATCATGAGCTCCTGCTGCGGGTGCTGCAGCTGGGTGGTGCTGATCATGCTGATGATGATGACCATCGATACTAATGTTATTGACATTACTGGAAGAGGAGGAAGATGATTGTAGCAATCGGATTTGCCTCTTCAAGAACTTGACGTATCGAATAGCTTCGTCTAACATAGAAGCGGTATCCATTTTAGTTCCTCCGGGAACGAGTCTTTGGAGGATACGAATTTTCTCGCTTATCCTCTCGCGCCGGTGACGCGCAGCCACGCTCTGGGGATCATCACTGATTCGCACATTCCGCCTTTTGGGCTTTCGGATTGTAGCTGGATCGATGTCCACCGGCTGCATAGCGGCGATCCTGTACATCATTTCCTTCATAGCTCCAAGCTCTTCTTCACCAGTTGCGGCGGGGCCCTGGTCTTGAGCATCTTCGTGATCATCTAATTCCATGAAAGTATTATTATTATTCCCTGCAGCGGCGGCTAGTAGTACTTGATGAGTGTGATGACGATGATGGTGTTGATGATGGTGATCGATGATTAGTTGATCATGATCATGAATATTCGAAGGGGAGGGAACATACTGATGATGGGTAGATGAGGAGGATGGGGTTTGATGATGCCCTTCAAGATGGAGAGGAAAGTTTGGCCAAAGAGAAGAATACTCAAAGGAGGAGGAGATCTCATGTCGGAGGATGGGATCTTCCCTGCTAACATCATCATGATTAAGATCCTGCCCGCCGGAAGAGTTTAGAGACAGCTTACTTGCGTAATCAATATTGATGTCCATGCTTTTCTGTGCCGGTAAATTCCAACTGATGATTATTTATATTGAAAATAAAAATAAATTTGGGAAGATACAAATTCGATCTACCAGTTGATCAAGTGGACTTGAAGTGGTATTTGTGGCCTGTATATGCGATCAATGATAACACAAAAATATAGCACCATATTTAACTCGTCCCTGATTGGCGATCAAACGGCGAAATAAAAAAGTCTGCTAGGTTTTCAATTGAAGCTTTAGAAGGAACGATCCAACACTCACCATCTAAAGGTAGAGAGAGAGTGGAGAGAGAGAGAGAGAGAGAGAGAGAGAGAGAGAGAGAGAGAGAGAGAGAGAGAGAGAGTATTGGAGCAAAATTTTAGTGAAGGAAGAGGGAGAAGCATGCATGATATGCAACAAAGCAGAATAGGGATGAATTGATGAAATAGAACAAGATAATGGGTGGATGGGGGACCCACAAAAGAGATCAAGTGATCATCAAAGAGAGATTTTTCAGTGTGACCGTCACACGAGGTGCTATACCACTGGCTTTTCAGCCGTTGCGCGTATCCTTATATAAATGGTGGGTTATGTGTGTTAAAAAGTTAATAAAATTAAAAAATTTCACCATTTGCATAAAAGCACGTGGTATACCATCCGTATTCTCATTACAATTAAAAATTTCTCATGATCAAGGGGTTAAATGATCTTATATCTTAATCTGGCAAAGTTATCTAGGGTCAAGGATTGCACTACTGAGAGCTTGCAGGCTTTGCCACATTCCTAGGGTTCTCTCCCATTTATTTACTTAATGTAAATATAAATATATTTATATATGGAGTAGTACAAACACTGAAATTCTAGCACTGCTTCTTCCTTATGCTTCATGATTCGCTGTTGCGGAGATAATTACTTCGGTTACTCTTTCTGCCAAAATTGGGTTTCGTGTGGGAGTGAGGTTTCCTTGGTTTTAGTCTTTACGTACACACAGTAATTTTTGGGTCAATTTATGGTATCACCAATGTTATAAACGGTGTATTTTTCAAAAATTGAATACCAAAAACGTGTATTTGGTAATATTAATCTATAGAAACTTTTATTTTAATCCTGAAAAAAGATCATGTTTTTAATAATACCTTATGTAAAATGAAAACTAAAAATAATCAGTTGATTCATATCCACATCAGCTTAAATATCTCATGTCAAATTTAATTACTTTTTTTAATGAATTTATTGTATTTTCAGTCTGCCTATATTACCTCTTTGGGGATTCAAACACAAAAAATTGAATAGCATTTTGTAAATCAGAACTAATGTATAATGTGTCACATCCTGGGCTTGACTCCACCGTAGCACGATATTGTCCGCTTTAGGCCCCGACCACGCTCTCACGGTTTTGTTTCTGGAAATTCACACAAGAACTTCCTAGTGGGTCACCCATCCTGGGATTGCTCTCGCGCGAACTCGCTAAACTTCGGAATTCCAATGGAACCTGAAGCCAATTAGCTCCCAAAATGCCTAGTGCTAGGTAGAGATGAGAATATACATATAAGGCTTACATGATCTACTCCCCTGGGCGATGTGGGATGTTACAATCCCTAAAAATGATAGTTTTTGTAATTTTAATCAGTGAATTTAGGAAAATGCCCTTCGAGGCAAATACGTTGACTTTTGTTGACCACTTATTCGTGACACGTAAAATCTGTTTTCTTGGCATATCCTCGTAGTACTCGTCGCTACGGACTTGTGGGCGCAAATGAGGTTTTATTTAGTCGATGTATGTGTACTTCCCAATGAGGGGCAAGATGGTAATATTGCACCATCGGGAATTCCTTACTTGCTTGTTGAGACAACAGTGAGTTATTGGTATTGCGGGCTGCAGACTGTAATATCAATAACTTATTGTTGGGTTCATTAAGCAAGTGGGCAATTAGGTCCGTTTACGAAAGCATAGGTGAAATCTTTCGATGTTCGGTCTTTGATTTCAGTACAATTACTTTAACTTTACGTTATTATATATACACGTAATTTGACGTTATGTTTTTATATATCTATTTTTTTTACTTGATGTTTTCGTAAAGGGTTTTATATTGAAGTATTGTACTGAGGGAGAAGAAAAGTATGAGCTTGGAGGCATGAAAGAGGAATAATTGGAATCCGATTGCGACGGAATGACATTATCTTTTATGCAACCGCTCCAACTTGATATCTCCTTCACGTATTTATTTTTCGACTATCTTTTCACTATTTTTGTGTAGCAACTGGTTTTAAATTTCGGGGACGAAATTTTTTCAGGTGGGTAGATTGTAAGAACCCGTCCCTAAAAATAATAGTTTTTGTAATTTTAATAAGTGAATTTATGAAAATGCCCTTCGAGGCAAATACGTTGACTTTTGATGACCACTTATTCGTGACATGTAAAATTTGTTTTCTTGGCATATCCTCGTAGTACTCATCGCTACGGACGCGTGGGTGCAAGCAGAATCAAATTCAAAGTTATAACGAAGAAGTTATTAATGATCGGAGTCGAGGGGGGGGCAAAATAGACATGTTCCCATTTATTTGGAATACTCCAGAAAATCTAGAGTGCCACATGTGTGACTGAGATGAAAAGAGAAGTAAGATGGGTGGTGGAGATGGAAGGACAAAGAGAGAAATGAGGGAGCGTGTGGCCAATGAGGAAAGGAAAGAGAAATAGCATGGCCCAATTCGAAAGGGAAGAAAGGAGGGGAGGGGAGAGAAGAGAGACCCATAGGATCCCTTGCCCAGTTTCCTCCTTTGACCCGACTTGACGGAATTGAAGAATCAGACGGTTTTGATGTTATTTTCCGACGAATTGAGACCTCCCATCACCCATAAACATCACCATAGGGTCTCGACATCCAATTATAGCCTTAATCAACGAAGTTTCATCACGGTTTCCATGAAGAACAACCCATGGGTCCGAAGATGTTGGAAGTATGCCCACAAAGCCATTCATTTGATGTAATAGCTTTTGGAATACTTATTGTGTTAAACTATTATATGTTTAATGAAGGGCAAATCTTATTGTTAATCACTATTTAATGTATTATGCGTTTAAGCAATAAGGGAATCCAAGGAATGTATTTAATCTAAGAGAGAAGGGATCTAAGTAAGTTAGATTAACGAGACCTTTCTCTTATGTTCATTCCTAAAACGTTCCTAGCCATAGGATTGCCAATTTGGCATTGACAATCCGTTAAGGTTAGTATGTGTTATGTTAACTCAAGTGTAAGTATGACTAGTCTTAAGTCATTCAGTGTTGGACACTGGGACAAACACATAGTTGCTCAAAAGGTAATTGAGTACACTGAACAACGATCAAAAGGGAGTTCGAACATATATGTCATGTAAGAATTCTTAAGTTGCAATGTGCAAAGTAGTCATTTGACCTGGGGCATCATAGATGTCTAATGGTTGGATCCTTGATCTTTGATCATGTTAAAGGCATTCTGTTGAGAGTGTCCACGACATTGTTGGGGTCAAGCTATCTAGTCATGTAGACATATGAATGCACAACAAAGGATATATAACCTTCCATGGTGGATGGAGAATACTCTGAGATATGATTCGGGAGTCTTTGGCCAAAGCATACGAATATGACTTAAGAAGTTTGTTCCAAATCATATTCAATTGAATCATATAGAGAAGTATCACATTGGATAGTAGACATGAAACAAACTATCACTCAAACAATGTGATTAAGAGTATTGTATTAGAGAATGATTGTATTGCATTGTAATTGTAACTTGGTAGGTTCTCCAACCACTTGTATTTAGCTTGGGTAGCCATGACATACTGCTAGGTGTCACTCATGGTTTGTGGAAGCCCTGAGGATTAGTAAACACTAATCTTCATCAAAGGGAGAATTGAAATGTAGTTTCAATTCACAATCGATCGTTAAGAGTAACAATCGCCCACTGCCTCGCTAATTGGAACCTAATGGAGCGTACACCGAGTAAGGATGAAAGTGAAGAAATATATATGGGATGGATAAACAATTAAATAGTTTAGTTGAGAATGGTTAAGATTAATTAATTAGTTAATTAATCTTACGAAAGGTTCGTATTGGGCTTTTAAGTTGGTTTTGGGTTTCGGGGCCCAAAAGGATTTTTGGTCTACAAGGCCCATTGAGTTTAGGTTGTGTGACAACTAAAACTAAATAGAAATTAACCCAAAAACAAAGTCAAAACTGGCCTAGGGTAAGTGGATGCAAACTTGGCTTAATTGCAAGTTTGCCACTCACATGTGAGGTGGTATAAAGGCAACTTTATAGCCATTATCTTACTAAGGGTTTTTCTTAAGGAAAGAAGAGAAACTTTTTCTCTCTTTTTCTCTCTTTTTCTCCATAGAGGCCGGCCACTTAGGGGAGGGATAGCTAACAATCTTTCTTCCTCTAAGTCATCCATTTCATCTTCACATCTCATCCTTGGTGTAGAGACTTAGAGACACCAAACCTTTGGTGTTCTTGGAGATCCTTTCTTCACATCCTCAAGGAGAAAAAGGAGTATCAAAAGGAAGAAAATCACAACGAAGATCTAAGGAGCTAGGAGGTGACTTGAAGGCCATCCACTTGGGTGAATCCCTTGTGTAAACATGGATAAGCTTCAAGGGTAATGAATCTCAAAATCCTTTCTTCTCTTAATATTGTTAAAGAGTCTTGTGGTTCACCATTCACTAGGCTTTGAAAGTCATGGGTTTTAGAATTGTTTTGTTAATGCATGCCTACTTTAAAGTGTTATTAGTTTGCATATGTGTTCAAATGTTCTCACATGTTCTTAGCTAGGACAATTTGTTTTTTTTTCAGAAGACCCTTAGTTGGAAATCCACCATTTTCTGAAATATTTACCCTCGATCCACATCATCAAACAACTCCTCTTGGACCTAGGAACAAGTCCCAAGCATTGGTTGGAGCATCGGAGTTGATTTGAGGACGAATTGACGAGCATTCTTGACGAATCTTAGTATAAGTGGCTACCTTTGAGGGTATGATCTTTACCCACACTATTGTACTTTACTTATGCTCTGATGACATGTGTGAAATGGGTACATACCCGCTCACAAACGCTCTCTGGTATTTAGGCATTTTTAGGTTTAAATTTACTCACATTTTCCATATCACTGCACTTTATGGCTTCGTCACCTTCCTGGTGTCAGCTAGCACAGCTCGATTCGGAGTCCTAGTGGACAATCCGGGTCGGGGTGTGTCATAAGGCCTAACGAATCACTAATGCAAAAATTATCGGACCTAACGAATTAAAACATAAAAAAATACAAACCGTACCAAATTGACCAGACCTAATGAACTAAAACATTAAAAAAAAAATACAAACTGTACCAAATTGACTGTACTGAATCCATCAGACCTAATGGACTAAAACATAAAAAAAACAAACTGTACCAAATTGATCGTACCGAATCTATTGGACCTAGTGAATTGAAACATAAAAAATACAAATGGTACCAAATTGACCATACTG